GACCACTAAGATGGTCCCCCTCTCCACCTTTTCTCAAAGCACTTATAATCTCTTCCCCACAGCATCCCAGGACATTTATACACATACCTTTGTCTGCTTCAGTGCACTAGAAATCCAGTGCATTGAAGCAGACTCAATTAATCAAGTCTGTGGAGCACATGAGCTGACGCACCCGGTGCTATGTCACATGCATTTGTATAAATGGTGAAATTTGTGTCAACGTACAGAAAATGGCAGCCGTGTACTTTTGAATTAAAACACCTTCAGTGTGTTTTAGTTCAAAAGCACACCACCACCACCTTCTCAGGGCTGATGTGCATTTTGCTGTGAATACAAATGCATGCACCATGGTGCCAGGCATGCACATGTGTAGGAATTCCCCCTACACTCCATGTTTGGGCTCTCTGCCACTCCCCCTTTCTCCTTCCTCTTGCAGGCTCTCGTCCATTTCTACTTTACTCTCACCCTCCTTTTACCTCCCCTCCCCACCGTCCCTTTTTGATTCCTCAGGGGGCCTGTATAGCCTTGGGGACACCTGAAGAATAGATTTCCCTTCCCACCCCCAGCTAGTGCATTTTAGGGACTCCTGACACTCCGCAACTCTATGCCTTTTCCCTCCACATCTGTAATACCGAGGGGGGCAGTGCGAGCCACAATGGCTGTGTTGCTCTGGTTGCCTATGGTATATTAAAAAACCCTGGTGGGACCATAGCTGAATCACAGATAGGAGGTGCTGCACCCCACCTCAGTTCTACTTGTTTGGTCTCAACATAACTCGTGCCCTCTATGACCCTGTCCAAATACCCCATTTGTCCTGCACCTTCTCTACACACGTTAGTCTTTGTACATGCAATTCCATCCACCCTTCTATGTCTTCTGCCTCTAATAAAGCCTTATACAGTCTTACTATAATCACTTGTTTCTTTGACTTTTTTCATGCTATAAACTTTACCCCTCTTAATTCCTCCCTCCTACATTCCTCTGCACGTTTCTTCCAAAAATGTTCATACCCTTCACTGTTCCATTAAGTAAACTCCCAAGTCTTTCTGTTTTGGAAAGCAATCAGGCTGCTGAGATGTTCCACCTGTACTTCCAATAGCTCAAACAGTATCTTTTCCATGAACTCGTACCTGTTCATCATTGATCCTGTCTGCAATCTGCCACCAGTTAATATTGCTTTTATCTGCAGTCTCTGATCCTCCCTGACATTTATTGATGCATTTTCCATGTCTTCCTGCTGTGCCACCCCCAGAGGGCTGGCATTCTGTTGTGCTCCTGCTGTTTTCTGCCTCTCATCTGAAGTACCTTCTCCTGCCATTCCCACTCTATATCCTGTTCTCTGCTCTTGTCTTCCCTCTGGCCTTCTTTCTCTCCCCAATGCCTTCTTTGCCGCTGCCTCTGTCTTCATTTCTACTTCCACTGTTCCTCCCATCTTCATTGTCTTTCTTCTGTGCTTCTCCACCTTTGTCCACTCTCCATCTGGCTCTAAACCAGGGATTGGCAACGTTTTTGGGCAAAGTGCCAAAAATACCTGCAGCCTTGGTTTGTAAGATGTTGGTAAGATGAGAGCTATGAGACTCTTCAGCCTGGAAAATCACAGGCTCAGGGGTGATCTGATGGCCACCTATAACCCCAGCTGACTTCCTGCCCCTGGGGAAGGAGGCTGGACTCAATGATCTTCCAGGGTCCCTTCCAGCCCTAATGTCTATGAAATCTATGAAAAAACAACAGGTAGTTGTTCCCCAAGGCGGGAACAAGCTCTGGGCTTGGAGGTACTGCAATACCAGGTCAGAACTCAGGAGAGGCCGGAGTGAGCTTTGACATCCTCCCCGAGTGCCAAAAATGTTGGTAAGAATGGTAACATATCTTTTCTTTTCTTGGTTTTTTAAAGATTTTTTTCATGTTCCAAGCCAAATCAAGTCCAAATCCATGAGTTGGTCCAGAACCATAAGTGGCTCTACAACCAGCAAACATCCTCCACCCCCACCAGGGGCTTCAGATATTACCAAAGTCTTTTGGTAGGGGATACTATGTGCAGACCAAAGCCCGAAGGTTTGAGGTTCAGATGCCCTCAGGTTTCACCCGCCCTCAGCCATATGGCCGCAGAAGCAAGCTAGGGAGGTAAGAACCTATCACAAGGACAGACTAGTGCAGCCCATATAAATAAAACATATAGCACTGCCCACTAAGTGCAGTCCCCCTCACCTCTGACTCTTTTTCAAGTCACAGTGAGCCACTACACTGCATACATTTCAACCTCCTCTTCACTCCCACAGTTGAGTTGCGCCGTTCTTTCCCATTTCCAGTGATTTCTGTTTCTTTAAATGCCTGGGAAACATCATTAAACAGGGCTTCAAACAGTTTACTCACAATCCCTCCATCGCCCATCTCTCAGCCTGGCAGGTATGATTAGTGTGGCCCCGCCCTATATGAAGTGAAGCTGGACCAGGTTGCCCTGTGTCTCATCTGCATATAAAATTTTGGAGCATCCCAGGACAAGTGACAAGAACACCCAGTTTCAGTCATGAATGGGGGTTAATTAGAAAATGGATCCTTGCGGGGGGGGGGGGGGGGGGAGGAAGGGAAGGAAGAGGGGTATCTAGAGTATACACACATACTGAGCAGTGCTGAGCTGTGGGATCACCATGGCTTGAAATGTTGTTGACTCTGCTGGGGCCCAGCCCAATGAACTATGTGGTAAATCATAAGCCTTTGGCTTTGGACTAATATCATGCACAGTTTATACTACATGCAAACAGTGCTGCTCAAAATGTGCTTATGGAGTGCCTGTGCTAAAACGTACAGCAGTTTAAAAATAAAAAAGTAATATACATCAATTCTGGATTAACTAAGCTTATGGGTACTGTATGCAAATTGCTACATCCAAGGTTGTTGTTTCTGAATTTGCTCCTCACTTCTGTGTGTTCAGGGAAAGCAGGGCCTGGCAGAAATGAGAGGAGAAAAGGGCTGCCAGAGGAAAAAGCTGGGGAGAAGCAGAACAAAGGGGTTACCTGATCCTCTCCCCCACTCAGATTTATTTTTCTTGCTGTAGCAATGGGAGGGAGACAACCAAGGCAAGTCTCCAATAATTAGATGCTATACCTGGAAAATTATAACAAATTTATACATTTTACATATATAGAATCTAAATACTGGGGTGATCATTTTGAATAGAAGATTACTGTGAATATAAGTAAAAACAGTAAGAACATATATCTAGTTTGTGGTCTGTGGATCAATCCAAAGACACTATTATGGCTAAAACAATAGCCAATAATAATTTATGTCAGCAATGAAATATTATTGTATAATATAAATATGGGGAGTGCTTTTGTCTGGATTCATTCTCTTATCACAAGTACCATGTTTGCAATGACTGCTCTATAAGACAGTTTAATGCATCCATTACAGAAATGTTAATATAGTACTAGAGTTAATATAGTACATAGCCTCCCCACCAACAAAATTATGTAAATGTGTGGATTACACTAATAAATGGAAGGGGAGAGGGGAGGAATAAGACAAACCAGGAAATGTGGAGTTTAATACTTGATTGTAATGTGGCACTGCACAAATTGTTCCACATAGTTGGGGGTTTGTTTTGATTTTTTTTATCAGCTCTTAAAGACTCACTGGGGGATAGATCGAAAATTCTGGCAATTGCTGTTCAGCCATATCTTGCACTCCATGACACCCTTGCATTTAACCATGTGCATAATGGAGAAACAAAAATCCCTCATGTAACATCTTTCCCTGTTAGGCATGGTGCTAAATGAATGATTCGATACGGCAGACACAGAGGTTAATGACACAAAAAAATTTAAGTACACATCAAAAAAAGTTAAATGTGCTTATTAATTTAAAACAGCATCAAGTTATTTGTAGTTATTCTCCAGATTACAAATGTTTTGCAATCCAAAGCATTATGATAAACTGTCTAAGTAGAAATCTCCTTCTGCGCACTGTTCAATTTGTGCGTTATTCTATTAACCAGTCCTTAGCCATCTTTCTATCTCAAGCTTACACAAGAAGCCTAAGTACACTCAACTGATATGTGCATAACTGGATAATATTTAAATGAATAAGCAGCCACCATTCTTGTCCTACTGGAAAGTATGTAAATAACAAACATGATAGAGGAATCTTCTGTATTATGAAAGTGCTAACCAAGTAAGGATGAGAGAGAAGTTCTACATGGCATATGGTATATAAAGTAGGCTACAGGGGAAATTGATTCTGAAGTTGTATTCACTGTCTGGCAAGTTACAGAAGATATCCCAAATGAACTGGAGGCAGAGGAAAGCCCTGTACCAACAGCAAAAAGTGAAACCAGGAGAAACTGGAAATAATAGGTATCCAAGCAGCAGTTCCTTAGTCAGTAAATGGGAAGAGGAAAACTAACAAACTATTTGGTCTGACCCCTTAAAAATAAGGAGAAACTATACAACAACACTTAGCAAAGATTTAAGCTTCAGATGAATTGAAATCTAAATATCTTATAAATAAATTATTCCTGGGGGGAAAGCACTTACTTTTTGGGGTTGGCCATTACATTTTTGTCTGTGGCTTCATGGCTATTTTTTATATCAGGTCATTCAGAATATTATTGAAAGTCAAAAAATTGAAGCCCAAATGGTGGCTGGCAACCAACATTTGTTAAAGCTGTTTACTTGGATTTCAGTTTAAAACAATTTTATTATACCCTTCCAATTACATTTCAGTGGCACTTGAAGGAATCACCCAGATACAGTTTTGCAAGCTAGGGGGCCAAATCACTACCAGTGCAGCAGCAAACAAACAAAACAGGTTAGTACAAGCCCCACATATAAATTAGGTTTCCTGCAACTTTCACTTCCCAGTCCATCTGCCTGGGGCTTAGGAGAAGGAGAATGAGTGGCTGTGTTACTTCCCTGAACTCAGGCTGCCATTTTTATCCCAACAGATCTGGTTCTTAGCAATATATTTATCAACAATGTGATCCCAAGAATTATGCTCTTTACCTGGGGAGATAGGTTGAGTCTGGCATAGGGTGCAACTGAGCACCCTGATGGGTGGGGCAATCAGCTCTACAGTGCAAGCCATGTAGCCATGTCTGTGTTAGCCCATGAAGAGAGTGTTTCAGTGAGACTTCCAACACTCACAATTTTATTAACCTTGAAAGGTGAAGCAGGTTTAATGGTATGTTACATACAAATAAATTATTGTGATATTTGGCATATTTGCTAATTATGTTTAGATGCTTTCTACAAATACAAAATATCAAAGAAGAATAGTGTGTTTGACTTAAATTTTCTCCTGAAGCATGACAACTCATACACCTCAGCACCGTGTTTGAATATGGAAATGAAGGGTGGGGTGCTGTCCTCTGAAAACCAATAGTGACAACACTGGTTTTTTATGGTTTTCTGCACATTTTTTTTTTAACACAATCTAGCATTTATTTGTAGAATAATCAACACGGGGGTAGAAAAATATGCTCATTTCTGTACAACTGTCAAATCTTAACTTATCATGTGGTCACAAAATTAATGATTTCAAGTGCTGAATACATAGTAACAAGTAGACAAAGTGTGAAGGAAAAGGTAAAAAATAAGCCTTGTGTTATTGTGATTTTATTTTCTAAAAATAGGATTAGACACAAGAAATGTGACACATCCTAGAAAATAAAAACAAAAATAATAATAACCACAAATCAAAGTCTTCTATGAAACATCACCTATTTGACAGAAGATAATGCAATATTGCTCTGCTTCCTTATGGGGAAAAAACACCACCACATTTATATAATAAAGGTGGTCTCATATTGACTTTCTTTCAGAAATTAAAAGAAAAATATACAAACATTTCTGGTATCATCTATTTTCTTAAGCATGTAAATCACCTGTGTGGTTTTTGGCATGCACAAATTGGTGTTGTTCAAAAGAGAAGGAAAATAGAAATCACATAAAAGAAAAAGCATAGCAATTTCAGCAAGACTCTGGAAGCCATAAATTCCCAATAGTTAATCCCAGGACTCTTGCAAATTTGTCGTCCAGTTTAGTCAAATCACTTAATTCTATCTGTTTCCTCACCTTCAAAATGGGATTATTCATAGTACGCATCTACGCCAGAAAGGAACTGAGAGAGTTTATTTTACGTTTATAACTTGAAAAGCTTAGACATATTGTTATATAAATAAGTTTAAAAAATACATTTTAAAGATGCCTTTTAAAAGGCTGTCTTAAAAGAATGATCTTACTTCATTAATACAAAGTCTATGGGCTGGATGGTTCGAACAAAGTGGACTTGTCTTTTATAAGTATGACCTACAAATATGTTCCATTAAATGAGACATAGCCTCCTTGCCAAGATTGCTAACCTGATATGTTGTTTCTTTTGCTACAATAACTGAGGCTCAGGGTTTTTTGTAAGCTCCATGCTATTTACAGTGTAGCAATGAGCTTATTAAGAAAAATCTATCAGGTTTACTTTAAAACTGGCTTTACAATGAACTAGTTCTACTGTCCTTTTTCTTTTGGGAAGGGGGGTAGGAAAAGAAACCACCAACTGTAAAATAAAGAGGCTTCTGCTAATTTGATAGCATACTTCAAACAAATATACAAACTCTTCAAACAGTTCAAATGTGCCGCTTTGGTAATGGACTACACATGCATACACACAGTGTCAGAAAAAACGGAGCCTGTACAGATGACTAGGAATCACAAGAATAATTTGCAGCGTTGGAATTTTTACAAGGGATATTGCTGGGACCAACTAATACTCAATTTCAGTTACAATTCAGTACAACAGCAGAAAACTGCTTTTCTGCTACCTTCAAACTATTGGGGGGGGGGTTGGGGAAGGGGACGGGGAGGGTCAGGAAGATAGGGAGTAACTCTCCCTTGCTCCACTGTAACTTTTAGCCATTTCCTGATTTTGTGCCTCTCCTCGCTATTTAGCACTCTGTTAATAATTTTAAAGAAAAAGTTGGTTTTACAGTCATTACATTGAGCTTTTTCACTTAAATTTTGCTTCCAATCTGGCTGAGGCAATTTACACTATAAACCTCTGCAGATAGTATTTAGTCATTCCTGCCGGACACTACTCATCACCGGGCCTCCCTCGGATCCACATATTTTGACCTGGACAAACTGCACCAACTTACAGGCATTAAAAAAAATAAAAATGGAATTCCCAAGGTATGGTATCCCCATAGACTAAGAGGTCCATTCAAATAAACTGCAGAAGTTAATCACTCTGCTATGTAATATAAATCTTATTTTTTCAGAAATGCTGATTTATTTCTAGACAACCGTGCTGAATGGCTCTTAACTTTTAACACCAGGATTTGGCAACCTATAGCTAACAAGCCAAATCTGGCCCACAGAGCTTTTGGTTCTGGCCTACAGAACCACAGCTTCAGTGGTTTTTGGTGGAAGGGCAGCTCTCACAGACCCTCTTGAGCCACAGCTGGGCACCCAGGGTTTCAGTAGTTTGGGACCTCTCCTGGCACTGTGGTGCAGTCAGGCAACACAAGCTATGGCAGAGGTGGGCCTTTGATGTGCCGTGCCACAGCTAGGCAGCAGGAAGGAGCCATGGTGGCCAAGTCTTAGTGCCTCGCTTTTTGACTGAGCTGGATTGTTCTACCCACAACCCCACCAGAAAACATTATCAATCCCTATTCAACACCACTGAGTGCACAGGAGTGGAGCATCCCCAAAAAGAAAACCCCCAACAAATGAGTTTTTTTTTCCAGAAAGAGCACGAAACTGCTACAACAAGTTTATGCTGACTCCTCATTCAGCCTTCAATGTGGCATGTTTCCCAAGACGGGAAGAGGCATGGCCAGAATACATTATGCTCTGAGCGCTGTTACTCAGCATAATGTTGTCTATGGAGCTGTTGCAAGATCACACAATTTACAGCAGCCAAAGCTACCCTTCTACTGCCCTGTACTCCAACTCTGTGCAGTGCCTAGAGATGGAGCAACAAAGAATGTCTTAAAATGTTTATTTGCATCTCAACTGATATTCCCTCCCTCTGACAGTAAGAGAGATGTCTGGGTTAAATTGTGAACTTTATTTTAAATTGTGACATCCATATTTGACTACAGAACAAAGTCAAGTCTAACCCTTGGATCTGGCACAGTCATTTCAGGAAAGGTCTTTGACACCTTGTTTGAGGACCACTTTGGAAAACATCAAGATAACAATGTATTGTCAATAACAGATAACATGAATGCCACACAGAAACCCAGTGGGAAAGCGTGTCACTAGAATGCATGGCAACATACAGAGATATGTTCTGAGAGTTGTTCTCTGTCAACAGACCTGCCCATTGTCATACACCAGAACACCAGGCTGCTGAGACAGAACTCAAGAGAAAGATTTCTGCCTGACCTAAACTGCTAACAATCTCTCACACCTGTAAGAGGGAAGAACAGATTAGGGAAAGGTACATTTCAGGACTTCTGATATTTTGCAAAAAAACCCTGTAATTCTCTAGCGCCTCTTAAAAGCAAAGCCCTTGCTTTTCCTACAGATTTTTTTTTCCCCAAAGGGGTTAAATTGGAAACCCACACATCCACAGCCTACATGGATGTATCAGATGCCATCTCTGGGGCTCAGAAGGAATGAACCACTGAATCTGTTGTTTAGAAGAGCTTAACTGTGGAGGTCTGTGTCCAAAGGAAAGGCTCAGACAAGGGACCTGAGCCTCTGAAGGTACTCCAAAGAGCCAGACGTAGGAAAAGGACCCTCTCACCCAGCTGTGCTTAGAAACATATAAGATCAGACAACAGGATTCCCTTACAACAAATTGCAAGCTTTCAGGAAAGATGGGAATGCTTCTTTCTTGCTTTAGGTTATAAGAAAGCATTTTTGCTGAAATTAGAAAAAATAAATTAAATAAATTCCCCAGGCCCCTTACCCTGCCTCTTTGGAAGCACATATCCAGCTTCCTTTTAACATACAAATCAAGAGCATAAGGACAGATCCACAAGGGAATTCAGGCATAAGTACTGTCAGTGTCACCATACCTCACTTTGAAGTACCTGCCCCTGGGGTGAAATTCACAACTCCAGGATAGGCATCCAAGTTCTCTATGCTAGTAGCATCAGTAATTCCACCTCCCAGTAGCCTGTGGAATTTCAGTTTGATTCTGAATTTTTTCATGGGCAATCCTATTATATACAAACATTCTGAATGCACAGTCAGTCCAATATTTAAATGCCAAATATGTCAAGAGGGTGGCAGAATTTCTCACTCTTAAGGACATCTTTCAAAGCTATTCATTTAGCCAAGAAAAAGCTGCACATTGCAAGAAAAGCTTAAAACCTCAGAAGCAGAGTCTCAGGTATCCGACAAAGCATCAAGGAAATGTATGCTGCTTGAGATAAAGCAGCTCCACATTTAGCTTTCATTCCATGGACAGTCAACTAGCTGGAGCTCAGAATCAGAGCAGTTTCCCTGAAGACCTGTGCAAGATGGAGATTTTGATGTGGTTATAAATGCTGTTTCATTCTGTGCTACATCTAGTCAGATATTTCTGTTGTTGAAAACCATTTCAAAAGATCCTGGATTCTGTAAACTTCTGCAGGATCCAAGGCTGGGCCCTGAGGCAAGCCTAGCAAGATTCCTCGGGGGTGTGCCCTGGAATTGAGGACTATGGAACTTGAGTGGTATCAGGCCCTCAGCAGATGTACCTGGTCAGTCACAGCCCAGTGAGAAACACTGAGATTCCCCTTTCAACTTCTCAGTGAAATCAACAAGAATGTCTGTTTCATGTCTGGCATTCGCTTGAGAAACTGACAAAAACCATTTCAGGAACTTCTGGAAAGTTAAAAAAAAAACAGGTTTCAGCCCAGTGCGGACTATAGCCCAATTTACAGAAAACACTGTGTCTTTTTATAATGGGAACTCTACAGCACACATCTTGTTTTCTCCCATTTTACAATAAAGATCCTTTATTGTAATGTAGAATATTGCAACAGAACTTCGCAGTTGCTTGACCTAAATAAGAAGGCCCTGGAGATAGGGTCACTTCTTACCTGTTAATTTGATACAACTCTTCTATGGCACCCTTCTTTTGTCCTGTTGACAGTTTGGGCACTTCAGAAATTCTCCTTTCCAGACCCCCCCCCTCCCCCCACCTTTTCATTTTTTAAAGAGTATAT